AGAGAAAATTCATATATATATATATATATATATATATATAGACACACACACACACAGAACTCACTGGTACGTAGAAAGATTGTATATATATATGACCATCAACACTGGTATGGGTTATCATAACCCAGAAATAATTCGACTGTAAGTGTTAGAGGAATTATTTGGCATGTTATGACTATATATTTGAAGATACTACAGTTATAGTGTCTTCAAATAGCATCTTCAAATTGCCAACTATTAAATATTTTTATTGTTATATGTTATATAGCAGTAACTTATCTTATCATTTAGCATGCAATTTAACTAATTATCTTATAATTATGTTAGTTATTAATATCATTTACAATTATGAATAAAAAAATATTATTATTCTTAAAAGAAAAATAAATACTTTCCACTTCTTAGTGATAGAAGTTTAACATAAAGAAAAGGAAAAGCTCATTGTTTTCATTTTATTTAAAGTGTTATATAATACATGTTTGTTATAGAGGTAACAAAGAATGAAATCTTATCCTGTATAGCTCATAGAAACAATCAGATTTGCATTTAAACTATTCAAATCAACTAATAATAGAGTAGTTGTTATCTAATATACCTCCTTAAAATAAGTCATGACAAGAAAGGCCAATCTTGGTTTTGAGAGATTGAAACTTTGAATGGAGCAATTATTTTGTAAGCACGTAAGCAAGTTAATCATTGGATGAAATATGAGCCACACACAAAGAACTTGTATAGACTTGACCCCGAATAAAATGAAAGTCTATTACAACATGTTTCATTCTTAAATGAAACATTGGATTATAACATAGTTAAGTAGCTCCAATATTGTCGTAATAGACTAGGAGCATAAGGTAAATCAATTCGAAGATCAATAAAGAGATAATAAAGCCATTTGAATTCAGCTACAGTAGCTGCTACAGATTGATATTTAGCTTTTATAGAAGAACTTGTGATTAGTACTTAAAAGTGTATTTTTATCAAGGTTTTATATCATCATTTTGCACTTGAAGTATCAATAATTTCTTAACTAGAACATGTTTTATAATAATATATCTAATAAATATAAAATATCTTTAATTTATGGTAAATATTTATCTTAAATATAGGCCTATCACATAAATAAAAGGATTGATTGATGAGTTTAACTACTAAAATTGAGAAGATAAAGAGAGGGCTAAGTTTAGAAAAGAGATGCTGATTCAGTTTAAACTGGAACACTATTCAGTCATTAGGTCATATTTAGAGCTGTAGATCTTGGATTTTAGTTTAGTCAAATCAGTCATTACTCTTCATAGTAGTAAGGTTGTTGAAAAACTCACTCTTTAACTTTATAAGAAAGATGATGAGTTAATCTCTAAGAGTAAGAAAGGGATTGAATTTGAACATTGCAAAAAAAAAAAAAACTGATTTCCCACCAATACTTCCATTTCTTCATGTAATGACCAAACAAAAGAAAGTTAATCACAACTCTAAAATCTTTGAAACTTTCAAACAGGTAAGGATTAATATACTTTTGTTGGATACTATTAAATAGGTATCTTCTTATGCTAAATTTTTGAAAGATCTGTGTATTGTGAAGAGAAAACTTAAAGTGAAAATGAAAACCTTTTTAGCCGAACAAGTATGTGTCATTCTTTAAAAAAATAATGCTTTGAAATATAAAGACCCTAGTTGTTCAACAATTTTTTACTTTATTGAAGAACATAAAATTAAAAGAGATTTACTTGATCTTGGAGCTAGTGTGAATTTACTTTCATATTCAGTTTTTTAAAGTCTCAATCTAGGTAAGTTAAAACCAACTTCTGTAACTTTCTTACTTATTAATAGATTTGTAAAGGTACCTAGAGGAATAGATGAGGATGTATTAGTACAAGTTGATAAATTTATTTATCTTATGGATTTTATTATCTTGGGCATATAACCTGTTGAAGCACGTAATTCATTTTCTGTTATGTTAGGACGTTCATTTCTTATAACTTTTAATGCATTGATTAATTGTAGAAATTGACTGATGAAACTATCATTTAAAAACATGACATTAGAGATGAATATTTTTAACATTTGCAAGTAACCTAAAGATGATAATGATTTATAGGAAGTAGATAATATTGAAGAATCAGTTTATAATCAATTTAAATCTACCTTAAGTAAAACTGAGTTTGATGGATCTAAAGAATTACAAATGATTTATTCTCAAGAAGAAATCGAGGATAAAAAAGGCACCGAAAATATTAATATGGATCTTGTGTCAAAATTGATAATAGATTCGATATCTGACATCCCACCAATCGATGATTACTTTCTTAACGAAACCTTACTTTCTCTTAGTCCAATGCCTTGATTTGCTAAAAATATTAATTTTCTTACTTCAGGATTTTTGTCAATTCACTAAAGTACCGAAAACAAAGGAAAGTTTTTGAACGAAGTGAAGAATTTTTATTGGGATGACCTTTACTTATTCAAATATTGTCCTGATCAAATATTTCAAAGATGTATTTAGAACAATGAGGTAAGTAGTATAATTAAACTTTATTATTCTGAAGCATATGGGAGTCATTTCTCATTAAAGAAAACCACTATAAAAATCTTACAATGTGAATTTTATTGGCCCACCATATTCAAAGACACACATATGTTTTACAAAGCTTGTGAAAAATATCAAAAGTCAGGATTTATTTCAGAACATAAAGAGTTTATAGATAATCTTCTAGTGACTTTTGGGACATATCCTAGTAGTAATATGCAGTGTGCATTTCATGACTTATGACTCCATTTTCATAAAGAATATACTCAGTATAGTCTTGGAAATCTGATTTAAAAAGACTGTATTTGCCAGTTTCTAAAAAGACTGGATGAAAAGCTTATCCCCGACCCATTGAGGGCATTTAAGCCGTTCTTGGATGTAAAATCAAGAAAAGATATGAGCCACAATCGCAACTACCTATACATGCATATATGACACGACGAAAAGATTGTTGTCTTCTCCCAAGTGCAGGAGTGTCGAAGTAATAAATAACCCGGAAAGACCGGGGTCGAACCACAGGGAGATTAAAGGAGGTTCCAATCAGATTATATATTGTTAACATGATTACATTAGTCATCTTATTCAATTAATGCTAATACTTGTAAATCTCGTCAAGCATTCATGATTATAACTTATGTTAACAATAAATCAAGTTCCTTTCATAGCTCAGGTGTCGGTTATACCATACATTATGGGCTATGAAAGTGCCAAGCATTTGTTGTACCAAGTGTTATACAACATAAATCAAGATTAGTCATTTAACAAGCAAAGTATTAAAGAGTGAACAAGATAACAAATATAAAACATGTTAGTATCAAACATTAAGGTCCATATTAAGTTTACATTATACTTATTCTTACACCATTAGTGTAACCTTTTCACCTTGACATAATTAACTTAGCTAGACATAATGAAAGAAAGCAAAATAGATAAACAAAATAAGAACATAAAAGTTAACTAAGTAAAGGAAAGGAAATGAAAGGCATAAACTTAATATTAATGAAAACAAAGCATAAAAAATACAAAGAGAGAAAGGAAGAGCATGATCTTGATCTGGAAACCAAGATGCCTAAATGCATGGCAAATGCCTCCTTTTATAGGCCAAAAATGGGAACTATTGATTTGATGACTAATTGATAAGTGGGTGGCCAACTTTTGACTTGGTGACAATCCTTATCTTCTCTTGTCTGCCCAAAACGTCATTGATAACGTCAAAACTGGAGCCAGTTGCAAACATGAAAGTTGTAGGCAATTGTCTCAGCTTTCTTGTGTAAAAA